GGCAGGGCTGCGGTTTTGAGGACAAAGTGGGGGGTCACTGACAGCAGGGGGGGGGGGGACACAGAAAAACACAGAGGTTTAACAAGACAGGAAGTATAGACTGAGGTGTTGGTTCGAATCCTGACACCGCGGAGCAGAGACACGCTGAGGCACCGCTTCACACGTGAGCTGTTAATTGGGAGGTGAGGCAAACAGAGGTGTGAGGATGGGGCAAAAATAGCAAGGGAAGGGGCAGAAAGGGAGGGAGGTGTTGATGGGTTAGGGTTAGGTCAATCAGGTTCTGTGGTTCTACAGTGACAACAGAAAGACCAGCAGCAGGTCTGGAACCAAGAACCAGAAGAACCCTGAGGACCTGAAGAACCCTGAGGACCAGAAGAACCCTGAGGACCAGAAGAACCCTCAGGACCAGAAGAACCCTGAGGACCTGACATTTTCCCAAATGTCACACTGACCTCACTGACCGACCTCACTGACCGACCCATGTGACCGACTCAGGCCTGTCAGGTCTTGTCACCTTATACACACGTTGGTTTTTGTATGTGTTGAAGTAGTGTTGAAGTACTGGTGACGTGTTGAAGTACTCATGCAGTAGCTGAGGTACTTCACTATAACAAGTACAAGTTCAGAACTTCATCTGGTCACTGATCTGAGCTGCTGTTCGTTTGTTTCTCCCGTCTCTCTCCCCCGTGCCTCCCAGTGTCTCCCCCTCAGACTCAGACTCTCTTTAATCTCCTCCTCCTCTAATGTCCAGGTGCAGTCACACACACACACACACACACACACACACAGAGGGTGACCTTCAGCACCACAGACCAGAAGGATGACCAACATCAAACCAACTTCTTGACACATTTCCACACACACTCCCCCGTCACTCTCACACCTCTACATCCACTCCGACACACACACACACACTCTTACCGTCAGAGTAGGGACGGCTGTGACCAGTGAGTAGACGAGGACCGGAGGGATCCTGCTGCTCTGCTCTGGACCAGGGTAGGGCTTGGAGAAGGTCTTGTCGTAGCAGAAGAAACCCTGGACGTGGACGGGGAAGGTGTCCGTGTACTCAAAGTAGTAAGCCAGCAGCACCGTCCCAGCCATGATCACCAGCTGGAAATAGAACATGATCGCTGCGTTAGGACGCCACAGGACGTAAGGTGAAGTAGAGGAGCAGCAGGAGGAGCAGGAGGAGGAGCAGGAGGAGCAGCAGGAGCAGGAGCAGGAGGAGGAGGAGGGAGAACCAGGTCCCTGTTCTCCTCAGCCACAGAGAGATTCATAGGAATTATGAAGCAGGAGACACAGACAGAGTGAGAGGTTCAGTATTAGAAACAAGACAGAGGGTGAGGGAACGAGGGAGAGAGAGAGAGAGAGAGGGAGAGTGGGAGAGAGAGAGAGAGAGAGCAAACAAGATAAAAGGAAAAAAACAAGACAAAAGATAATTTTAGAGGAGGTTTTTTTTCTTTTTTCTTCAAGAGAAGAACAAAAAAAATGAATAAAAGAGGCTTAGAGAGAGAGGGAGGGAGGGAGAGAGGGAGGGAGAGAGAGAGGGGGAGAGAGAGGGGGAGAGAGTATGCTAAACAGTTAGAGAGAGAGGGAGAAGAAAGAGGAGTAGGTGGGAGGCAGAGACAGGGATAGCAGCATTTATGCTGCTGGCACTTCTGAAATCTACTGGTGAGCTGTGGGTGTATGAGCACACAACAGAGTGTGTGTCTGTGTGTGTGTGTGTGTCTGTGTGTGTCTGTGTGTGTCTGTGTGTGTGTGTGTGTGTGTGCAAATTATTGAAGATTTGACTAAATAATTATCATTTATAGGAGAACATTCTCTGTTTGTTTTTAACAGA